AGCCCTTCTATTCTCTTTAGCCCTGGGCAAAACTGGAGTTTTCTTGCGAGTTTCTTTGGAGTTATCAGATCTGGAGTTTTTTCTTACGTTTTTGAAAAATGCTAGTTGTAAATGATTAAAAACCCGTATAGTTTTCTATTCATCGTTTTATAACCATACTTTTCGTAAATGGTTTTAAAACCATAAAGGAGAAAAATGTTTTTTACCGTAAATTTTACAGTTAATCGGATGGACAGACAGCTGCCAGTTATTTTACCATAATTTTAGAGTGAAAATTTTTACAGTGCATTATGCCAATTTACAAGATCCAGCAGTTTTTCTTACAACAAAAACCAAATTTCCATCAAAAGAAAATGGATGAGTTTTTTTTTAAAAATATAATGATACTTTTTTTTCATTTCACCTTTTATTGTTCAATTTACATTAGCCTGTATATATTTTTAATTTCATTAACTTTTTTTTCCCTTTTTATCTTATTAAACTTATGCGTATTAATTTATCGTTTTTGTTTTTTTTTAAAACTTTTTTTTTTTATTTCCAATGGCAGGCCAATTTAGAAGAACAAAAAGGATAAAATAACAAGAAAAACAAGGCGAAAAGAGATAAATAGAATAGAATGCATAGTGACATGCTTAGCCCATAAAAATAGTGTTCTTAAAACTATTTAAAAATATATTTTGGTCACTTGGGTTTGATAAACAATAAAAAAAAAAAGGCGTTTTGTAGGAATTCAGAAAACCGGAAAAATCAGATTTTCCTGATTGTTACGTATAATCGGTTCTCTACTGTATTGTTTTTAAAGCTTCAAAGGTTTAAGTTGTTGCATCAAACTACTTCAGAAGTGAAGAGTTGCTGCTCTAATTTGTTTCTAATATACAATTACATCAATGTAGTAATTAGTTGACAATTTTAACCCATTTTATATTAAGATTTTTGAAAAATATTAGTTCTAATAAAGATTGGTATTTTTTAAATTAGCCAATCTTTATTAAGTGATTTAAATTTTAAAAAAATGATTTTAAAAAAATTAACCAGCTNCAGACAGCTGCTAGTTATTTTACCATAATTTTAGAATGAAAATTTTTACAGTGCATTATGCCAATTTACAAGATCCAGCAGTTTTTCGTACAACAAAAACCAAATTTCCGTCAAAAGAAAATGGATGAGTTTTTTTTTAAAAATATGCTGATACTTTTTTTTCATCTCACCTTTTATTGTTCAATTTACATTAAGCCTGTATATATTTTTAATTTCATTAACTTTTTTTTCCTTTTTATCTCATTAAACTTATGCGTATTACTTTATCGTTTTTTCTTCTTTTTAAAACTTTTTTTTTTATTTCCAATGGCAGGCCAATTTAGAAGAACAAAAAGGATAAAATAACAAGAAAAACAAGGCAAAAAGAGATAAATAGAATAGAATGCATAGTGACATGCTTAGCCCAGAAAAATAGTGTTTTAAAACTATTTGAAAATATTTCTTGTTCAGTTGGGTTTGATAAACAATAAAAAAAAACGGCGTTTTGTAGGAATTCAGAAAACCGAAAAAATCAGATGGTCCTGATTGTTACGTATAATCGGTTCTCTACTGTATTGTTTTTAAAGCTTCAAAGGTTTAAGTTGTTGCTCCAAACTGCTTCAGAAGTAAAAAGTTGTTGCTCTAATTTGTTCCTAATATACAATCACATCAATGTAGTAATTAGTTGACAATTTTAACACATTTTATATTAAGATTTTTGAAAAATATTAGTTCTAATAAAGATTGGTATTTTTTAAATTAGCCAATCTTTTTTAAGTGATTTAAATTTCAAAAAAATGATTAAAAAAAATTAACCAGCTTTATTTTGGTCAGGCTAAAATCTGTCAACCCTGATATATATAACACTACAAAAAATATATTCAGGATGTTCTGCACCAACTGTTCCAGTACATATTTTTGGAAACCTTATAAAAAGGGAAGTAAAAAACTGTACACGTTTGCAACCACATATTAAAAGAAGATTAAGTTAGAGAGAACAAGAACATTTTCATATTCTGATCCTTTATATTGGTGTCAAAAAGAGTGAGAAAGGATTAAAATCATGTGCAAGAGTTGGTTCCAGTTTGAGAAGTATTTTTTTTCCTTTCACTTAATTATTAATTTTAATTAACATATGTGCATTATGCTTGCTGCATATTTTTGTTTAAACTGAATTTTAAAAATATATATTAAGGGTCCTTACAGACAAAAATACTATTGCAGAACATCTTGCGTAAATATAAAATAGACATTGCAGTTTAAAATTTTCGTATTGGGCATTCAAATGTAACTATACATACAGTAAATTAATCAATGAATTCTAATTATGCCACAACACTACAAACTTCATGGGGAAATTAGAATTCAATGTAAAATAAAAATTACATTAAAACTCAAAATAGTTATACACCTAAGATCTATATAATACAATTCTATTAACTACAATCTTCCATACTAGACATTAACTATAGATAACATTAACTCTAAAGATAACCAAAATTGATAAAATTGTTAGTTTTTAGTTCTAATGCTTTTGATAGAATACATTTTTCTTCTAATTATAAATACTTTAAGTGGATATTTTTATTTTTTAAACTTTTTGTATTTAAAAAATTATTTTAAGACGGTAATGAGGACATATTTCAGGTACATATTGCAATATTTAGTTGATAAGTTCAATGATGTGTGAAGATATCAATATAACACAAAATTTTATAAAATGCAAAGTTATAAAACATTATAAAGATCATTCTCTCTCGATTAATGTATATATCAAAAGGAAATGAATGATATAAGGGGAAACAAATTAATCTAAGATTCTAATTACTTGATCTTTAGGAAATATCTTTTTCTCATCAATCATAGCTGCTACAGGCTGCAGTTCTTTTTCAGCGAATTCTCGAGAAGTTTTCTGAAGCATTTTGTGAGTATCGGACAAAAGGTATGCATTTGAAATTGACCTGATGCCTACTGTTTTCTTCAGTAATGGTTGCCCTGAAAGATTTTTATTTATTTATTTTTTTTGTAAAAGAAAATTTTGCGTACAAATTAAAATAGTAACAAATATTAGAAGCTGTGACTATAGGAACCGTTCTTCAGAGATATACTTAATTTCTAAGTTTTTAACTTCTTCATATTTAATATAGCAATGGATATTTCTCACCTAAGAGTTATATGATAAGCAGAATTTAGTAATTTTACATCCCTTTGCAATAATAAAGAAGTTACATCTTAAAAGCTTTAGATTTCTTTTATTCTTAATGATAAAAAAAATACCATGTAGTTAAAAGTTAAGCTCTTCATTTACATAAAAAAAAAACCAATTTAAGCACTTTCAGTAAATAAAATAGTCTAAAATAAGTTTTAAGTTAATGGGAATGGTTCATTAATTATATACTTTTCCTGAATTCTATATGATTTAAATTTCGTGAACACTCATGTTTGTGAAAATTTCTTCTCTATGAGGAAATAATCAAACTCATATGAAATATAAATAGAGCTAAAACATGCTAATAATTATAATTACAAAGCAATTATAAATGTACCACTATTGTGCATATTTATTTGTACTACTATCAGTAATATATGTGACGAAATTTTAGTAATTAATTACAATTTCACAAACATAAGTGTAATTTAAATTGAAAAAAAAAACCAATTACATTCGAAATGAAAGTTATTTAGTATTAAATTTTACAAAACAACTACAAAAAGAAAAGTTAAACAATAAATAAAAAAAGGTCAAAGTTGCAATTGCGTTATTACGATCACTGGTTGCCCATTGGTCAAATGCTTTTTCTTTCTAGTTTGAAACGCCACAACATTTCAAATCATGGGTTCCAAAAACTGTCTCAATTGATGTTTGTCGTCGTATTGGTTTTCAAATCCTGCCTATATGAACGTGTTTCACGATGTCATAAAATATTTTTGCTTCTTCAGTATTCATATTTATATTGCAATCACCGTCAAGTCAGTAATTATAAGTCAAAAATAAAATAATATAAAAATACCTTAAGTTATTATTATGTATATACCTTAAAAATACCAGCTAGTGAAAAGAAAAAGAAAAACAGCAGTGGTCACCATAGCAACTCAGGCAATGACGACGCATTCACAGTGTTTACTCTTACTCTCGAACCTTGGTATACAAAAGCTAGATTAATTATAAACTAGACAAAAACTATTTATTCTGGTGGCCGAGTCTTCAATGCAATTGAATAGTGTGATGACGTCCAAATAAGTTGCGCACGTCATCAAACCAAGAAAAACCACACAAAAAAAAAACACCCATTTTGCCAATGGGTTATGGAAAAATCTACACTTATTTATTTTGGGCAGCCATAACAATATTGCCTAACTAATGGAATTGCCATCAGTGATGCTTAATTGATGGTGGAAATAGTTATTACTGGTATTGTGTATAATAGGCTGCTAATATATTACTAAAGAGATTTCAGAAAAATAATTGTTTTAGGATCCCTGAAACGAATAACATTGAAAAAAGGGATATTTCCATATTGGAACCCGTTCATGCCAACTGAAATTGCCAAGGCACCAAAAGCAATTGCTCAGTAGTTTAACTTCGATTAAAATTTAAAAAAAAATACATATTGTGTTGTAAGGGAATGGTTAACAGGTTTAATTGAGGAATTTTAGTTTCGCCTTGCCGATTTCTGGAAATCGCCAATACTTGGCAATTAAATTAGCTCTACCGATCCAGAAATCTCTTATCGTTGTCTTTCAGTTAGCCAAGTGCCAGAAAAAAGTCAATAAGAAATATTCTCGCATGCCATCGCCCTGAAAATGCAAAAATTTGGCACTTATTATGGCGAGTATTATGGCGAGTAAATGTAAAATCATCCGAAAAATATTTTCAATGGAAGTTCAACATGCTTTAAATGCTCACTTCATATTTACTTCTTAAAAGAGTTCTCGATGAACTCCATATTTAAAGTTTGCTTAATTTTTTTAGTTTTTCGGTTTTCAAATTAATCACGAAAAATCTATAAAATTCAAAAGTATTCCTTCCCCAACATAATTTGCAGTGTTCATTAACACAGCAATTGAAATTGTTACTAAAAAAAAAANGAAAAAAAAAAAAAAAAGTAAATAAAAAAAATAAAAAAATTAAAAAAAAACTCAGACACCTTTACTTTGTTCCATTAGTTTTCTATCATTTTTTTAATAATTCCTATTACGTATTTTATTTTGATGAATTTAAGTAATTTGTTATCATACTGTTATTCAAACTTAAAGAAGTTTATTCAAAAGCTCAAATAGAAACACATTAAGTCCTTTCTAGAAATTTGCACTGAAGGCATTTTATTATGCTCATAAAATTAATCAAACTTGCAGACAAAGTGTTGTGACACAATATATATGTTATTTTGAAATAGGCACATAAACAAAACATATTTAACATAATTTAATTATTAATTAACAATTTAATTTTGGAAATTTAAACATAATCATATTTAATTTAAGCACAAATAAATGAATAATTAAAACAAACAAATAACACTGATTATTGGTCTTAGCAATTAATGCTGCACTTTTCTAGGCTTTAATTTCTCTAAACTTATTTTAGCTTCTGTTTATCAATATCAAGTGTCTTGAAATTGATAATGATTAGACAGTTTTTGCTATTAATCATTTCTACAAATTATTTATGGGCAGTTTATAGGCCATATTTATTAACTTGGAATTTTGCAATAACACTCATTTCTAAGCATTTTTTATAATAATATGATAAAAATGTAACTATTATTTAAATGAGAAAAAAACAGATTTATGCTTTTACCTATGAATTTTTAACTTACCTGATAATCGGAAGAGCGTTGCGAAATAATTTTTCGGTAGCATGAAACCCATGTTTGCACGAAATCTATGATAAAAATCCCTTCAAAAATATCACACATTTACTTTATAAAAGAAATTTCGCTTTAACAATCAACATAAAATTTTTATCGTTCTCAGAATTGGTGGATATGTGGCTTAACTACTACTGTAAATATTGAATACCTATTAACTAGTATATAAGACACGTTAACTTGATTCTACTTTGACATAGTCTAAGATTAAATCCCCTCAGATACACCTGCTTTATGTCTTTCTTCAATTTTTACAGGCACGGAGGATAGAAAAAAAAATAATCACAGACAAAATGTTATAATAGGAATCAACAGATACAGTAATAGTAAATCAAGATTTTAAAGAAACAAGAAAAACGAAATAGAAAATCAAAACAAAACATAAATGAACACTTACTCACGGAATCTATTCGAGTGAGTTATATTGAAAATGTGAAGTTTTTACTGCTAATACAAAATAGAAAGTTCGGTAATCGTAATAATTTTACATTTATTGCTTATTATATACTATACTTTTAAGGCAGCATTCTTAATAAATAAAAAATTACTGAAATAATTTTATTTTAATAAACAAAGTATGAATTGATAAATGGTATTAAAGTTTCCCTCAGGAATTTCAAGTTAAACTTCAATTTATGGTTATAGAGTTCTAAAAAAGTAATTATTAATGCTGAATACATATTACTTTTTTTCCAATATTTAAACATTATAATATACATTTTTGATGTTGTTTAAACAAATTAATAGCAAAGTAAATGGTGTTTTTTATATGCAAAGCAAAATCCTACTAAATCTAGATTTTTTTTTTTAAAGTAACCAGAATTAGCAAAAGTAAGGATGCATTACGTCTAAATTATACGCAATAATTTTTTTAAAATACAAGAAAAAAACCTTACGTCATTAACAAATATACAATAGAAAAGGGAAAAAAACAGTAATATTTTTTTATATACAAATCTTAAACTAACAAATAAATGCCATTGAAATTATAAAAGATAATTATATTTATTACGAAATAGATATTTTTAATAAATTATAATTCACAAGGACTGCAAATTTTAGTGTCGGATATCAAACCTTACTTAAGATTATCAATGGTAAAACGATGAAAAATCTTCATTCCTCTAATAAAATATTTTAAAAATAATCTTCTTTTTTTTTAGGTTATAACGTTCACAATTACATTAATAACTTTTAATCGTAATGACGGGTTTTCGTCGATAGAAGGCTGATTATTTAGGGTTCCGTAAAGGGTAGCCTAAATAATAATTGGGAACCGCTGCTTCAGAGCATGTCATAATAATCACTAAATCAGTTAATTTTATTTTTTTGTTTTGCACTTTTATTAAATGTGTAATAATAAGAGCTATAGTTTTTAAAACCAGAATTTTCGATAAACTGTTCCAATGCGAACGGAAAAATTACCAAATGAATGGTTTGAAAACCATATATTTTGGTTTTGTTACCAAAATTGTTTTTCTTTTCTTTTTTGCGAAAAATGTCGCAATTTTTTCTTCGTGCGTTATTTCGGCTTCTACTTCTTCCGCACTAACTATTTAGACATAAATACTGAAAATGGAATATCAAATCCAATCTTTGAAATATGAAATACACTTTGACTTCTACACTTATTTTAAAAATTAATTTTGCAGATAAATTATTTTTTATAAAACAATGCAGTTAAACTAATTATATCAAATTCAATAAATTTTCTTCTGTATATTTAAAGAAATATTTCGATGCTATGAAATTAGAAATAGTAAGCAATTAGAAATTAATGTTGCATTTTATTCACACAAAAAGCATGTATTTTTTGAAAAAAGTTTTTTTTAATATATTCCTGATTTTGGTATAATTCTCAATCCATAAATTTTCTCTTTCTTTCTCTATCTAATGTATTAGATAAGAATAAATTGTAATCAATTAGCAATGATGTATTTGTGAAAAATAAGTCATGTTGACTAAAAAAACAATACAGAAAATATAAAAGCAATTAATCGCTACAAGGATGAAAATGAGTGCATCCCCCCCAGAGCTGTTTATACCTCCCTATCCCCGTTTATAATCGAAGCAAATTTTTCAATGTCATGAAGTGTACAAATATTTTTTTATTTTTCTTCTAGGTCATACACTCTGAGGCGAGCAGGTGAGGGCCGTTATATTAATATTGTTCGCAAAAAATAATAATAATTAAAAAATAATAATAATTAAAAAAAATAATAATTAAAAAATAATAATAATTAAAAAATAATAACATTTCTTAAGCTGATATTCTTCAATTGATGCTTATATTAGAAACATTTGTTAATTTTTTTGCCTTATTTTTAATTGTTTGAAGTACATTTGTTAAATTTTTGTGCAAGAATAAGAATTATCATTATTTGTGTAAAAATTATCATTATTTTATATTGTGTCTTTTAAATATCATAGAAAATGAATGTGATACTGGTTTGAAGTATCAGCTCTGCTCTTGATACTAGGATACCTTGTACACCAGATAAAATCACCTTGTGAGAAATTATACGGATTTAACTACTAGTAGAATTCAGGCTGATTTATCAAAATGTAATATAATTAAGCATTGAAAGAAATGTTAATATTTGAAAGAGATTAGATATTTTTTAAAAACATTTAATTAATACATAAGGATTACTTTGAAGTCTACGAAGAGGCACTGTCTTCACTTCATGTTATTTAACAGATTCACTCTTCAGCAGCTCAGCTATTTCTTCTTCTATAACCCTACAGCCCTTTTTGAACCCTGGCTTGTTTCGCAATTCTACTTCAAACAGTTCTCTGTTTTGATTTCTCCCTCCACCTACTGATCTAATATTATACAAATAATACTATTTCAACAAATTATATATTTTTTAAAAAGTATTTCTAACTTTTGCAAATTTTTTTTCTTCGAAAATGTAAGATCAAATCGAATCAGTCTCTAAATTTGCATAATAGTTAATGGTATGCTTTTTAAGAGGTCTTACCAGTTCTTCTTTTTCAGTGAGTTTTTTTCTTTTCTTTTTTCTTCTTGTGGTTGGTTGGTTCTAATACCACTTTCCACACGGGCAAGCCTGCTTTGTGAAACCGAGCAAATTTATGGCAGAGTGTGAGATTCTTGTTTTTCAGTGGCGCCATCTATGGCAAAGAATTCGACNATGGATAAAAATAAATGCACCCGCACCCCCCGAGCTGTTTAATACCTCCTTATCCCCGTTTATAATCGAAGCAAATTTTCAAATCTTGTGAAATGTACAAATATATTTTTTCATTCTTCATCTAAGCCCTACACCCTGGAGCAGGTGAGGGCTCCATTAATATTGATACAGTTCGAAAATAATAATACTATTTCGTAAGCTGATATTATTTAATTTATGTTTATGTTAAGAATATTTCTTCATTATTTCTGCATTCTTCTCAATTGTTTTAAGTACATTTGTTAAATTTTTGTGCAAGAATAAGAATTATCATTATTTGTGTAAAAATTATCATTATTTTATATTGTGTCTTCAAAATATCAGAGAAAATAAATGTGATACTGGTTTGAAGTATCAGCTCTGCTCTTGATACTAGGATACCTTGTACACCAGGAAAAATCACCTTGTGAGAAATTATACGGATTTAACTACTGGTAGAATTCAGGCTGATTTATCAAAATGTAATATAATTAAGCATTGAAAGAAATGTTAATATTTGAAAGAGATTAGATATTTTTTAAAAACATTTAATTAATACATAAGGATTAATTTGAAGTCTACGAAGAGGCACTGTCTTCACTTCATGTTATTTAACAGATTCACTCTTCAGCAGCTCAGCTATTTCTTCTTCTATAACCCTACAGCCCTTTGTGAACCCTGGCTTGTTTCGCAATTCTACTTCAAACAGTTCTCTGTTTTGATTTCTCCCACCACCTACTGATCTAATATTAAACAAATAATACTATTTCAACAAATTATATTTTTTTAAAAAAGTATTTCTAACTTTTGCAAATTTTTTTAATTCGAAAATGTAAGATCAAATCGAATCAGTCTCTAAATTTACATAATAGTTAATGGTATGCTTTTTACGAGATCTTACTAGTTCTTTTTTTCCAGGGAGTTTTTTTCTTTTCTTTTTTCTTCTTCTTGTGGTTGGTTGGTTCTAATGCCACTTTCCACACGGGCAAGCCTGCTTGGTGAAACCCAGCCATCAATGCAAGGAATTCGACTTCGCCACATCATACGTCACACCTGTTTATAAAGCGGACCCATTCATACATCCATTCATCCACAGATCGTAATTTTGACCTGAATCAGAGAACGATCGATCTCCAATCCAGTACACCCGGAAGTATTGATTTGTTATGGGAACATGGAGAACTTTTGCTATTCGACAGATTTAACGTGCATCAGTCACCATTTACTACACGGGGAGTCATCGGCCGGCGGGGTTCGAACCCACGAACTCTCGGGCATGGGCCCAGCGCCCTACCGACCAGGCTATCCCGGCCTCAATTCTTGTGATTCCTCTATGTTAGTTCCGTGAGTCATTTGTGATAATCAGTTTTCAAACTTGACAAGACTGTGCAACAAAGAAGACAATTTCTGTTAATCCATTTTCACTGGCGCACATTATTTTATAAGACACCGATGAGTTAATGGTTGAAAGCTTCATTTTGAGATAGCCAATGTCTAATAGAAGAACAAAAGATGTAAAAAGAAATGTAGTAAATTTTTGATTGAGTTGAGTAGATAGCTTCTATTTATTGCAGCGGTAACATGATTTTTTTTTTCTTTTTACAAAGGAAAACTTGAAGCTTATAATTTTGTTCCATTTTGCTACTTTATTTCGTGAAAAATTTTAAACAAAGGAGAAAGAGAGATAAAAACATTTCTCCCTTTTATTATTATTTCTTTCTTTGTGTGTATTTGTTAATTTCGGTCACAGAACATATTTCACGAAGTACATCATTGCCTCACATTAAACTCATAGACACGAACTTACTCCGAGTACAAATTCACTTTGAGAATAATGACTAAGTATTTATATATGATATTTCTTAAAAGTTATTCTCTCAACATCTCTCGATTTATCAGGAGATTTTCATTGCAGATTAAGAATAGTAGCAGTAAATTTAATAGTT